GTTAATCTACTGTGGGTGCCACTCAGACCCAGTCTCCATGTATATGAAGTTAGGGAGATGGACTTCAACAAATGACCTTCCACATTTGGGCCTGGCAAATTTCTTATTTGTGCTTCTATTAACCCAAAAAGGTAAATGAGCTGGAAAAGGATTTGAGTACTCTTTGACCTCAGCTCCAACGATTTACTTATAAAGTCTTCTTATTATTAATATAGAAATATAAAGACAGGGTTATGTGATTGAATTAGCATAGTTCAGAGCCAGCCCTGACAGTCTAGCTGTTACAGTTTGGCCTGCTCCACTTCTGCAGCCTGGGTTCAGTTCCCAGGTGTGGAACCACACCACTTGTCTGTCAGCTGCCATGCTGTGGTGGTGGCTCACATAGAAGAACTAGGACTTACAACTAGAGTATACAACTATGTACTGGGGCTTTGGGGAGGGGAAAAAAGAGAGAGAAGAAGATTGGCAACAGATATTAGCTCAGGGCAAATCTTTCCCAGCAAAAAAAAAGATTTCCTTAAAAAAAAAAAAAGAGAAAATTAGCCTAGTTCATGGATCTGAACATTTAGGAAACTAGTAGCTTGACCTTGAAAAGTGACCTGTCCAGAAAACTCCCCATTTGCAAACCCAGAGTTGTCCCACTAAGCAAACATGGTCCTGGGTCTATCATAATGTTTTAAAACAATACAAAATAATTTCTTCCTGATGCTATTTTTTCTCCTAATGTCTTACACCAGCACATCATTTCTTTATCAAAGAATTTTCTGCAACAAGTATTGGCAGTGGTGTGCTGCTAAGTGTTTGACAACTGGCTCTCCAGGAATAAAAAGCCCTGGTGTATAACATTTGCCAATTTCTGTGGTGTGAAAACTCCTACCACGGCTGATTTCAAGCTACCAAAGGAAGTCACTGAAAATGAAGTTGGGAAGATCTGTACACAATTGGCTCTGATGAGCCAGTATGAACTTTCTTCAACACAACATTGTCACTGCACAAGCCACCTCTTCAGCCACCAATGAGGCATCTCTCAAGTATAGTCTCAGACGACAATGCTGTCCTTGGGGCTAGAGAGACAATTCGGAGCAGGAATTGACACTGGATTTTCCAGGTGGCTGTCAAAACCATGTCCAGCTGATATACACTGCTTTCTTTTGTATCATAAATACATTTTAAGGCTTTTTTTTTAATGTCAGCTGTTCTTCCCAGACCAGGCCAGTTTGGAAGAGCAATCAGGAAATGTGGGTAGCAATAAAAACAATATTGAAAACAGTTCCAGGAGATTCTTTGAGGCCGTTAGGCACCTCATTCTTGGCAGAATCCCAAGAAGTTCACATTACCCTCTGAGCAGACATTAAAATTCTCCTTCACAGTCACCAGTGCCCTTCTCTGCACCGCCCTCTTGTGGTTTCAGGGGCTGCCATAATCTAGGAATGACTAACCCCTGACCACCTTCTTTCCTTCTCTTCAAGTGTCATATTGTCACGGCAGCTGTTCGCAGAAAGCTGTGAGGAAAAGCCTCATAAACCTTGGGTACAAATTTTGGATCGTATCTTTTTGGAAAAATTTGGGACAAATTCCCTCATGGTGAATGGGAAGATAGCTGAGTGGTACAATTTAGAGTTACAGGCAAAAGCATCCCTTGCTTCAGGGAGCCTGGGTGTCAGAGTTCCATCCTTTAGGGTGACCTCTGATATTCAAATCCAGCAGCATCGGGTGATTCTTATCCTCCTGTTTTGGAGTCTTGATCCCATGGATGATATCCATGGATGGATAACTGGCCATTTCGAAGTTTCTAGTACCGTTTTTTCGAGGGTACTCATTTCACCCTGATGCTAGTAGAACATCAGGTGCCTGCCCCGAGGGATGGCCCAGATTAGCTTGGTTCCTTCTCGCCCTCTCTATAGTGTAGTTGCATTAAAGACTTGATGTGGTCTCTACTTTTCTCGCTTACTGTTGACTTGACTGGTCTCCGCAAAGAAGCAGGCACTTCCTTCTCTGAGGGGAGACTAGACAGACTGGCAAAGCTCTCACTGCAGAAAGGCTTTGGGAAGGTGCCTGTTTGGAAGAATATTCAGAGCTGGCTCCAGGCATCTCTGCTTTAACCAATGAGGCAAGGTTTCCAGGTATCACTTCACAGCACAACTGTTTCCTTTTGGCAAAGGTGATTGGGATGGAGGCGTGCCTCTCCTCATCCTTTTACCAAAAAAAATCGACTTCACAGGATCATGGAGGCAATACAGAGAAAAAGTATGTGATATTGCTGTGTAAACTGCAGAGTGCTGAAAAGATGCTAATTATCAGAACAGCAGCTCCCCAGACAGAGTTAATGACTTAGCCCATTTCTTTCTCTTAAACTTTATGCACTCTTCTATTCTGGTACTTACTATTTAATGAGTGTGTCTCTTCCCACTAGTCAATTTGGTGTTAGGGTCCCATCCTTTTCCTCTCTGTATCACCAGTACCATCCCAGAGGTTTGCATACACAATCCCAGTTTTACAAATGAAGCAACTGAGGCTCAAGGAATTTCAAAGAGATAATAAGTTGCAGACATAGGATTTGAATTCACATCGTTTGACTCACACTGCAGTGGTGACATCACTCTGGCACATGACAGAAGATAACAAAAAAATTCCTGATGAAGACATCAGTGAATAAACCCTCCTCTTCTTCAACGCTTGCCTTATGAAGACTTTGCTTTGCCAATGCACACCCTATTTTGGAATCACTAGGCAACTACTAAATACACCAAAGAAATCAACCAGCTGGTTTACAGAGGAAGAGGTGTGGGGGCTAAACAATGGAAACTGCAGGATCCTGAAGTAGAAGGGAAAGTGCAAGGAGGCACAAGACAAGGAGTAGATTCTGTGGCAGTCCAAGGGCAAAGGCACGCACTGTCAGACACACTCATCTCACCTCAAGGATAATACATACCAGTGGTCTTCATAAGTTTTTGCTCATGAAACCCCTAAAAGAATTTTCTACTTCCTCGCACATTTGAAAAGATCACCTCTAAAGCTTCATGTGCTTAAATACTTGAAGAAGTTGTATTTTCTCATTTTATGTATATTATATGCATATTTTAACTGTATTTTGGCCAAAATCGTGAGCAGCAGAATCAGCGTATTAAATTTATGGAAAATATCCACAGACCCTAATTAGCCAAACCAACTTCATCATCAAATCAGGCAGCCAAATCAGAATTACTGTTAGAAAATATCTGACTGTTTTTTATTTCCAGTAAATATATTTATACATACACCCCGACCTCATGGTAACATTCTCACTCCTTAGTTGTCATTCTAAGGTAGTCAGAGAGACAAGACACAGAGTCTTTGGCATGAGTTTGAAACCAAGACAAAATGAGATGTGGTCATTTCTGTTTGCTTTGCTCTCACTGCTCTCCCTCTGGGGCGGTGTGTTCTGAAATCATCCCTTTACGTGATGCCCATCTGATTTCTATATACCTTGGGACCATAGGGAGATTGTATGCCCATAGTGAGATTCCAGATGAGTGAGAAGTTTGCCTTTATTTTCTGAAGCGGAACTCAGATGAGCTCTCAGGAAAAAATTCCTTGGGAAAGCAGTTCAAATGGAAGTTGAGGATCTGGAAATGAATTCCCTTAGATGCTAACTATGCCCATGTGCCCCTGGAAGTCTTCAGGCCCCTTCACCTGCACCAGCATGTGCATTGTCTTCTAGATCCTGCTCCCACATCCCAGTTGCCCTCCTCTCAGGACTTGGTATTCTCCAACTGGCCCCCTTGGCCACTACCCCGCAGCACCCACCAAGGTTTCTTTTGCTCGCCAATCCTCTGCCTTCAGAGTCCAGCCTCCGAATTGCTGATTCTCACCATCTTTCCTTCATCTTGGAAAAACTCCATTACTTCAGGGAGAGTGATTTTAAGGAGGTATTAAATTGATTTATAGGAAGGTGTCAATGACTGATAGCATGCCAAGTTTTAAGGTAGTGTTTGCATTTTTCACAGAGAAGCTTTCTTACCGAAAGGAGTCTCTCATTGGTTGAAAATTCAGTCAAATGTAAGAGAAGTTATGGGCAGTGGGGAAGACATATCCTAGATGATTCTAAGACAGTTTAAGACAAGTTTTGATCACTGTGCTGCAAAGCAGTAACTAGTTAAGTAGGGCTTAAGCCTGACAAGTACATGCCATATTTTAAATCTGCGGGAGGTGCTAACTGGGAAAAAGTCATCAGTGTCACATAGTTGGTGGATGTTGCTGTGGTGCCAGAAGGGAGGTGGAATCAGATCCAGACAAACTTTTCTAAGTCCCTACATCCTTGGAAATTCCACCAAATCCGAGTCTCTGGGGTAGTTCTAATCTACTCTAAATCTCAGACATTTTTTAATCAATAAAATAGAGATGTGATGAGAAAGGCCCAGGTGACCCCGTCAAGGAGACTCATTAAAAGAACTGAGATTCTAAAGGTTATTTCAGGTCATGACTAAAGTCATCAAGTTTTAAGAAAGAAAAAGACCATATCCGAGATGCTACTGCTCTCACTCAGGCATATGGTAAATTTAGAGAAGTTTGCTCTTGAAGCCTAAGGATATGAATCTTACTTTGCAAAATGGGGTAGGAAAATGGATTTCTGCCACTTGGCTTCACCAATTCAGCAAATAAACTCTGCAAACCAAATTCATATCTCCAAACGTAAATATGAAGATTTACAGAAAGAACAGCCAAAAGATAGCTTTTGAATTCCACTGTAGGTATGACATTCAAAGGACCTGACCACACCACATTGGAATTCAGACAGAATTAAAGAAAATCTCCCATCACAATCAGAAACATCAATGAGTATGAAGAATCTGCTCCCCAGCCCCCATCCCATCCCTGTTACTTATGTTCATAATGAACAGCAGGCTAAGAAACATCTGTTCCTTCTCAATGTCCAAGGGATCTTGTTTGCAAACGTGAACAACCATCTTTGTTCTCTGGGGAGAAAACAAAACACTATCAATCAAAGCAGAGCTACGTACCCAGACCTGCTGCAGCAGATGTCTGTTCAAAACCGCCTGTCATTCCTGCTGCAAGCGAGCGCCCGATGCTTCTGTATCCTCGGTCCCTGCTCTTCCCAGCAGTGCTGCAGGTTAACTCTTAGAGGCTGGATGCTCAAGCCAAGGAAGCCAAGGCTTGCCAACTTAACTACTTACGTGCTGACTCATGCCTGGAGCAGGAGGCACCCCAGCTGAGGCTGCTTATGGACACACCCTTGCACCATTCTTGGAAAGTCAAACCTGGAGTTCGTCCTTTTGCATCCTACACGTACACAGCCTGGCAAGAAGCCATTCATTTTCTCACACTGACCTGCTTCTCCTATTTGATTTGGAAAATATTAAATTCTTTCTCCACCCCATCAACTACACACCACTGAGAGGAGACTTTGTAGGACATATCAGCAGAGAGATGGAAGTTAGGACCATTTTGGATGAGTGAGTTAAGCTTGGGAGAGGGGATGCCCACACTTTTCTAGAAAGGCGGTAACTGGATGGAGAAAACTGATTGCAGGTAGGCACCTTGGTACTTTGGGAAGCAAATAAGACAGTGTTTACATTTTCCCTGGTGTCTTTCCCAGGCAAAACCAAACATCAATATTCCGCAGTATTGCCTCTGTTTTAATTACATAGTTACTAGGGCCCCTGGAGGAAAAGTTCATTCTTCTAAGGCTTTTGGACCCAGATTAGAAGGTATCAAAGGCAGGAAAAGAAAGCAAAGGCTTTAACATTTGCCCAGGTCTTTGAAGTCCACGTCATTCCACGCGTGTCACATGCAGGAGGCACAGAAGCCTAAATTCCTATAGAAATTTTGCCAGTTTTCCAATTATTGGTGGGTAGCTTAGAATAGCAGCTAAAGGGGTAAAAACATGCCCCTCATCCTCAGGCGAGTCCCTGGTTTTCTTTAGGCCATAACGGAGTCCTCCCTGGGATTCACAGGCAAGGAGAAGTTGGGTGCAAGGCAGGGAGGAGGGGTCTAAGTGTTGGTAGGAAATTGATTGCTGCAGGCAGGCAGGAAATAGACATGCAGCTGTGTGGGAATCTGGGGTTAAAGTTCCCTGTTCTTCCCCCTGATTGGAGCTGCAGAGTTGCCAGCTAGGGTTTATTAGCTACTAATTGGGCTCCAAGGCTCTGGGGACTCCTTTGCCTAAAGTGCATCTACCTTGGGGGCCTGCAAGCTCCAGGGAGTGCAAATCCATCAGTGTGTAGAACACAGCCTGTCTCGGAGACTGAATGTGTAATAACAATAATGGTGATAACAATAGCAGCAGCTACTATGTTGAAGGCTTAGTGTATGCCACATGCTTTTTTCTGTGGCAAGACCTGCTAGTTCGTACACAGAATCTGAGTCCATCTCTTTTTCCTCACCTCCCCTGCAGTCAGGAGTAGCTGTAACTGAGGTCTGGCCGATGGAAAGCGAGAAGTGATAGACACCAGTTCCATTCTTGGCCTATGAAACCCTCCCCATGTGTGATCATCCAGGCTCCAGGCCCAGACTGGGAGGGAGACACCTACAGTGACCTTGGAAGTTACAGAAAGAAGAAAGTGAAAGCAACAAGAACCACATACAGAGAGCTGCTGACCTTTGCAATTACTTTTAAATGAACAAAATTTAAACTAAAAAAAATTAAAAATTGGATGCCAACCTAAAAATGTGTTTTTCAAAATTTTTGTAGGGATATGTAAGCAAAACAGTTTAAAGACCACTAGCCTACAGAACATAGGCTAGACTCAAGCGGGGATGAAACGCACCCCAGCCCGGGCTCTTTCCTTTATCTTTGTCTGTGACGTTTCTCCTGATCAGTCTCCCACTCTGGTCACAGGAGGCTCTTTATGGTTCCTGATGTACCTGCCCTGGCCCACTCCGGCTCCAACTTTTGCCCTCGCCCAGAACACTTTCCCAGCTACTCCCCTCCTAACTGAATCATACCTCACTAAGGCAGTTTCAAAACACGGCTGCGAATTCTTTGACACTCCATCCGTGGAAAAGTGGGGATCTATGTCATCTCCCCTTGAATCTGGGTGGGCTTGTGACTGCTTGTGTCTGACAATAGAAACCATGGAAGTGATGCCATGTGACTTCTGAGGCTGGGTCACAAAAGGCCACGCAGCTTCCATGTTTCCTGGAACAGTCCTTCTTGGAGCTGTTAAAAAAAAAAATTCAACTGAGGACACTTTAAAGATCTTATTGGCTTTATTCAATGATTCATGAATCGGGCAGCATCCAGTCTAGCAGATAGAAAGGAGCTCCAAGGAGCTGTATAAAATGAAAGACTTTCACAGGCAGAAGGGAGAAGGAACAAGGAAAATATACCATGCAAAAACGGTGGGTTGGTTACTGCAAGCTTACTTTATGGGATGGCAGAGGTTTATCAGGCAGATTACCTAACCGCTAGTGCTGATAAGGCGATTCCTGATTGACTAGTTTAAGATTCCATTTCTGGGAAAGTAGAAACTGTAATTAAGTCGTGGTGTGGTGACACGAGGCTTAGCATAAGCAACTCCATTTTTGTCTTGTTTCTAACAGAACCCTGAATCTCTGTGTAAGAAGTCTGGAAACCCTGAAGCTGCCATGCTGGAGAGACCACGTGGAGGTGCTTGAGTCCCAGTCCCAGCTGAACTCCTTCCAGCCTTCCCCACGAAGGCACCTGACAGGCAAGTGACTCAAATCTGTCTCCAAACCAGTCCCTCCACCAGCTGAATACCCTGGAGTGAACCCCATCAATGCCACATGGAACCAAAGCATCACCCAGCCCAGCTGGCCTGAATTCCTGACCCATGAAACCATCAGCCATAATAAAACTGTTGTCAATTTAAACCACTATGTTGGGAGGCATTTGTTATGTAGCAAACATAAACACCCTCCTTCAGGACCCAAGGCAGGGTCCACGTTGTTCAACAAGCTTTCTCTGACCATTCTACCCACTTACCCATCAGAGTTGTCTGATCCTTTATAATTCTGGTCTTGAATTATTTTTTTTTAAAATAGAGAATTGTCCTTTTCCACCTAGAGTCCAAACTCCTTTTATTTCACTAGATTTCTTTGTAGCACTTTATATAACAATGAGTGAATTCGTTGATTAATAAGAACGCTACCCATGTAACTTGAGTCGCATCTATAATGGTAGGTGGAGGGGCAGGGGCTGGGGAGGCGTGCTTTCTACCTGGTTCTGCTCTTTCTGGGCACCAGAATCTTTACCGTAATGATCAGTAGTATTTATCCAATCTAGTATTTATTCATGTATTTATTAAGTGCCTACTATTTAGCAGGCACTTGTTTAGGCCTGATGATAGAGTAGTGAACAGAACAAAGTCTTTTTCTTTGTGGTCTTTCCATTCTAAATGGAGGAAGAAAAAAACCCTAAAATTAAATCTAATTTATTGCTATAAGTGCTAAAAAGAATAAAGCAAGCAAAATAAGAGGTGGGAGAAAGTTGTTTTTATAGTATGGTCAGAGAGGTCCTCTCTGATAAGGTGATATCTCCATAGACACCTGAAGGAAGCGGGAAGAAAGTTGTTCTGCCTGGGGGGATGCATTCCAGGAAAAAGGAGTAGCAAACACATGGGTCCCCAGACAAGAGCGTGCTTGATGGGTTGGAGGAAGAAAAGACGGCCAGGGTGGCTTGAGCAGAGAGGGCAAGAGAAGGAGCATTGGAAATGTGGTCAAGGTATGTGGGGCAGAGGTACAGGGGGTGGAGGTCAGGAAGGACCTTAGAGATCAGGGTGAGGACTTTAGAGTTTGCTCCGAATGAGACAGGAAGTCATTTGAGATTTTTCGAGCAGAGCAGGGGCATGGTCTGACCTTTAGAAAACTTACTCTATGATCTGTCACCCAGATTCTACGTGGAGCTGCAGAGAGGCAAGTTTATAAGCAGTGAGACTAATTTGGAGGCTTTTGCCAACATCAAATCAAGAGACACAGACTAGAAGGCTAGAAGTGGAGACGATGTGAAGTGGTCAGGATATGGATGTGTTTTCAAGGCAGAGCCAACAGGATCTCCTGTCGGGTTTAGAATGTGAGAAACAGGAGTCGAGAATGGTTCCAAAGCTTTTTGGCCTGAAGAACTGGTTGAGTGGAGTCGAGCTTTGCCGAGATGGGGAAGAGTGAGAGAGAAGTAGGGTTGCTTAAAGAGAATCGAGCATCGGGTAACTCTGCAAAACAATTTTGGAGGGATTCTGTGACTCAACACCTTATGAGAATGACTTGCTGAGGTTGGTTGGGAGTGATCTAATATCTGCAAAGACAATGACGGACGAAATTTTCCCCGAAAGGTGGTAGGTTTTTAGGTGGTACAGAGTGGACATTTTTTCTTTCAATAGTTAGTTTCGATAGGTTTGATGTGAACTAGAAATATAAATTATAGAATGAACCCAAAGAAAGTTTTAAAGGAATTCATTGAAAGAAAAATGCTAATTAAATAATAGTACAAGTGATAAGTGGTTATGGGGAAAATCACATCAGCTGTACACTAAGGGATGAACTTTGGGAAATACTGGTATTCAATTTAATACCCAATTAATTTAAGTATCTTTAAAGGTCAGTGTCTAAGAAGAGAAGGCTTAGCCACTGAGTCTGTTCTGATCCACCCAAATTCTTATCCATTTACAGTTGGCTAATTGTCTTCTCTGATCTCCCACCACGTATTTTTTTTCACATAAGATCTACTCAGGGGTGGTGTGTCCCATACCAAAGGCCAAAAATAGCATTTGTATATTATTCTCACCCTATGTTCATATATAATTGCCCAAAGTTCACTCTAATTGGATCCTTTATAATTTGATGGATTTCAAGAGAAGAATTTGCTTTCTTTCGATAAACCGTGCACAAGCCAGTTGCCTCTATTGACCACCTGTCTTCACACAGCAGACAACTCTGCCCTCAAACCCCTGAAGGCGGCCCCGTCTGGGTCTGCATGTGGCTCCTGAGTGCTCTTTAGTGCTTCAGCTGACAGAGTTTGGTGGAAAGAATCCCTTCCTTCTTAGGGTGGAAACTGGAAAGAAGTTACCCCATGAGCCCCAGAACATGACCCTTGCTAATGCCTTCCCGTTTAATACACACAAAGCCCGTTACATTCCATCCTCAAAACAGCCCTATGAGGTAGCTAAGATTTCACAGATAAAATAACATCCAAGGCTCAAGTATCCTGGCTTAGCTCATTATAGAGCTTTGGCCTTGCTGAATGAAGTATGTAAACTGAGAGGAATTTGGAGAGAGAAT